TTTTTTCTCTCAGATTTTCAACATTTACTACTTTTCTCTTTTTGCTTGTATTCATCTTAGTATTTAAACTCTATTCAAATACGGCTCATTCCACGTTCATGAAATGGCACGGAAATGCTATTGAAATGCTACTGGTCTAAAGCTGCCAATGTATATGGTTTTGTTACTCCAGTATGAAATCAGCATTAAACCCATCCCCAAACACCTAAGCTCATAGCAGTTTCATTCCCAACATCTGAGCAGCACAAACAGGACCAGTGACTGAAAGCAGTTTAGGAAAGGCTTATCAGATTACTGAACAAAATGCAGTTTGGTAGCACAGGGTGAATCTCGGCCATAAGGAATGAGATGTGGTCAGGTGGTGTGGGTTGCAACACTGTACATTGTTCATTCAATGTGTTTGCGTGTGCGTTTAGATGATTCATGCTGCATTTACTTTACACGTTACTGCAAAATCACTCACTCCTTTGTTCTTAATGACAGGCAAATTAAATAATAAGCTAACAAATTTCAATCATAAATTAATGATGGTTGTTCACCTACAAATAGAGAGTTGCTACACTTCACAGTAAAACCCTGTGAACAAAACAAAATACAAAGTCACTAACATCCTCCTGACGTTAAAGGCATTGTATCAATTGCAAGGATTAAGATTGTTTTCAGCCTTTAAAGGACACCTGCAAAAACAGATTGCTTGCACACAGGAGAAAAGAAATAAACATTCAACCACAAGTACTGATTATACACAGACCTATCACATGATTCAGATATTGAGCTACTTGTAAGGTACACATACAGTGTTAGCACTTCACCAGGTCAGTTTTATAAAGTGGACCTGGAATGGAAAAATAATCTACCTATCTTATAATTCTCTGCTATCTCACTCCATCTTATCCCTGTGATCTTCAACCACACACACCACTCCTTTCGTTCAGTGAACACCAGCCTGTTTCATGTCGCCCACACTATCTGCCCCACCATCGAAGTAAGGGCTTTCAATTATTTTGCGCTGGTTCTTTGGAGCTCTATGCTGGCATCCCTCCAACTCTCTCCTCCCATCATTCAAGCCACGTCTCAAAAGTACCTCTTTGGCCTCTTTCTGTACAGTTTTTAACTAGGAATTTCTAACATTTTCTACCTAGATTACAGGACATCCAACATTAAACTCTTTTTAACCTATGATTGTTATTGGGATTTTATTTTACACAATTGACATCATGTCACATCTGTGAGACCAGAACAAAGGAAGCAATTTTTATTTCTGACATTGGGAGGGTCTTTCTCTTGGCAGGGAGACTAAAAAACCTGCAATATGACAGATAAGCTCCATCAGTGTACTGCACTGACTTGGATAATAACACCACCAGCTTGGCTCAGTTGGGAGGATTCTTGCCTGAGATAGAAGCTTGTCGGTTCAAGCCCCATATCAAGACTTGAACCCACAGGGTTTGAGGTGACACTCAATGCAGTGCTGGGGGAGTGCCTCCTCACCTCAGGCACTGACGGGATCACCATCCATGGTTGCACACTCCACCTTGCTAAGCCAGTCCGGAACCTTGGGCTCTTGTTTGACCCTCAACTATCATTTCTACCCCACATCTGCGCCATGACCCGCTCTGCCTTCCCCCACCTCCGCAACATCGCCCGGCTCCGACACTGTCTCACACTGCAGGCCGCTGAAACACTCATACATGCTTTCATTACATTGAGGCTTGACTATACAAACACATTGCTTGTCGGCCTCCCCAATTCCTCCCTCCACAGGCTGCACATCATCCAGAACTCTGTAGCCCATGACCTCTCCCGCACCAGGCTCTGTGACCCTATCACCCCCATCCTTGCTCAACTCCACTGGTTTCCCATCACACAGAGGATACAGTTCAAGATCCTGGTCCTCACCTTCAAAGCCCTTCACGGTCTTGCTCCCCCCTACCTCTGCGACCTCGTAACCCCCTACCATCCTGCTCGCTCCCTCCGCTCGGTGGGCGACGGCCTGCTTCACATCTCCCGCCTTGCTTGCCCCACTATTCTTCCATTCTGCCCCACCCTCTGGAACTCCATCCCGCAGTCCTTCCGCCTCGTCCCCTCCCTTGCCACCTTCAAGACTCATCTCAAGACCGTGCTTTCGATCTGCCTGCTTCCCCCCTTGCCCTCCACCCTCCCCGACCCTGACTCCCATCTCGGGTCCGTAAGTCAGTCTGTCCAGCGCCTTAGGATGTCCTCCCGACGTGAAAGGCACTATACAAATGTTATTTTGTTGTTGTTGTTGCTTTGCTTGGCTCTGTTTTCCTTTGCCATCTTCATAGAGAAGGTAGTAAGACTGGAACTTTTTGCCTGAAGTGGTGGTTGAAGCAGGCAGTTTAGATGCATTTAAGAGGAAGCTATATACGTATGAGAGAGGAAGGAATAGAAAGGATAGGACTGAGTAAGGAATGGGCGGAGAGTCATGTGGAGAATAAACACCAGCGCAAACTGGTTGGACTAAATGGCCTCCTTCCGTGCTGTACATTCTTTATTAATCTATGTAAAAGTGAAAACATCAAGAAATAGATTAACAGTCATCTGAATGAGAGAAGCTGGGCATAAGATGGGAAAGGGAGGCATTATTTGAAAGTGAAAGTAGTTTCTCCCAGTGTCCTGGACAACAATCCCCCAAATAACATTGATTATTCACTTCATGGCAATTTGTGGGACATTGCTGTGTGACATTTGGCTGCCGCTTTCATCCACAAATGCACAGTCACTTCACTTCACAAATCCTGTGAAGCTATTTGGGATGTCCTCCTGATGTTATACAAAATGCAAGGATTGTTAGTATTAGTAATGGACAGTAGTTGCGGTTTTTAAGCTCTGCGGAAAACACAATTTTTTAACTAAAAGTTTTTTAAAATTATAAAAATTTGAGAATTAGAATTTTTGAAAACATGAAAGTGAGCCCAATACTTTTTTTGTTGTTTCTCCTAGTCTCAGCCGTTAAGACCATTTTATCTTAAAAAGGTAGGATCACCCAGAATTGAGTAAGACTCTTTAATTTAAGTTGCAAACTGGTTATCCCGCAGTTCTTCAAATAAATCAGCTTCTACAATTCTTCCGGAAACATTTTCCATAATAATTCCGCACAATGCTAATTTTAAGGTGACACAGTCTTGGAGAGAAAGACTAGGTGGAATTTTGGGATGTAAGACCAGCTGCCGAAGGACAGAGTTTGGTAGTTTAGCATATGTAGGAATAGACCAGGTGTGGACACAAACAGCTCTCACCAGTCTCCTAGGGAAAGTGGAGGACTGGCAGAGGAACCTGGTGACTGACAGACCTCATAGGGCAGAGCCAGCCAGGAAAACTACCAAGGCAAAACACCATCTGTTCTTAGCAGGAGTCAGCTCAGAAGAAAAACAATTCCCGTGCAAAGAGATGACAGAGAGTTCGAGGAAGCATCTGGTAATATAATCTCATAGCAGCACAGCTCAAGTAAGGGATCAATATAGACACTTATTTTATTGTTTTCTTTCATTATGTGTAACCTGTATTAAATTACTGATTATTTAGTCAGTGTTGTAAGAACAAGTCAATGCATTGTTTTTAAAATCCAGCTGGAAGTTTATTTAATCAGTAGATTCATTCTCAATTAATTCAGTAACTTTCAATCCAGACACTATTGATGTTCAGCTGACTTTGTTTCTGAAGATGCCTATTACAAGCCAGTTCTTAGTTGAGAACAGCAATCCTCCAGATCCCCAACGCCCCCCCCCCCCCGGAAGAAGGTAAGTAATGGTGCTGAAGCAGAACAAGTGATAGGGAAGGGGATGAGGGAGCCAAAGGAGAGTGAAACCTGATGGTGAGTGGCTCAGAGATAAGGCTGAGCAAGTGGAGCTATGGGCTATAGTGACATGGGTGGGTGGGATGGGGGGGGGGGGGGGGAGCGGGGAAGGCGGAGAGGCAAAGGAACTGAAGAATCATGAGCACAAAAGAGGGAAATGGGAAAAATTGCTGAAGGGGTGGAAGAAGTTTATAAGAACATAAGAACATAAGAATTGGAAGCAGGAGTAGGCCATTCGGCCCTTCGTGCCTGCTCCGCCATTCAATAAGATCATGGCTGATCTTCTCACCTAACTCTGATTACCTGCCCTATCCCCATATCCCCTAATCCCTCTATTTTTCAAGAATCTGTCAGTTTAACAGGACAACAGCACCACAACGGATAAGAGCCAAGCTTTCTGCCTGCTCCTCTGTTCCACCCATTTTAAGGCAATTCTTCTTAAATTACAGAAGCTAGAAACTCTAATTCCTGCCATAACATCCGCACAGAGCCCCAGTCAAAGCTCTGTTTAATTGGGAATTAATAAGGATTACTCTAGAAGACTATTGAAAAATCAACACACACACATGGACACATCTAAAGGCTTTCGAAAACTATCCCCACTACCTGACAATGTTAAAAAAAAGTTAAAAAGATCACTGAACACGATCTATTCTGTGAAATGAAATTTCGCGCATAAGAACTGGCAGCCTTTGGACACCCAACAGATTTGCAGAAAAATATTACAATTTGCAGTATTTTACTACATTGGAACCTGAAGCATGGCAATTTTAAACAGAATTCCTCAATGAAAGAATCCAAATGGGGAGGCCGTTCCATAACTGGAAGTGCATCTTGCACATCTGATGCAACAGAGCAGATTAGTTCAGGCAGAGTTCCCATATGCTTATTGAAGGAATGCTGTTTAAAATTGACACTGGTTAGGTCCCAATGGTGCAGACATAGGTATGTCCCTAGTTGTAACCTGCACTAGTAAAAGGGGACTTCATCCATTTAAGACTGATTCCACCACCGCATGAAATGGTGGTTGCACAGTTCGATTACAGTCTCTATCAACACTTCCAAGGGCTCCTCCAAAAATCAGCTTTTGAATTTTATCAGAAACAATTTTCAGCTGGTATGATGTTCCTAATGAGCCATTGCCTCCAGGAACTGGGCACACCACTGCTAGACTCATGAACGGTTTCACTTTTCCTCCATTTTATTACATAGTTAACACAAACCAAACAGCATTTTAAGGTTTACTTCAAAAAGATCCTGTGGTGGAATTTCCACTTTGTTTGTTTACAATCTGAGTTATGTCAACTTCTCTCCATTTTCAGCAGGTCACATTCTATTCTACAGTAACAGGGTAAAAAAAATGTTAACATCCGGGCTTTCATTAACTCCAGGTATCAGATAGAACTAAAGTTGAAGAAAACCAGATTAAGGAATGAGATTCCATGACATCATGCAACACTGTTAATAGTATACTCAATGCTGAAGAACACACTATAATGCACATGTTTCCAAATCTTTAAAAGGGGGCTTTTAAAACTCATAAATAAAAGTGTGTGGTGAATTTATAAACTACAAATGAAGCTGTGTTCCATGGTTTAGTAACTCAGGGATAAAAATGGTTTGTGGGGAATGTCTTGAGTCTGTCTGCAGGAGACCCAGAATATTAGCCAATTGAAAAAATTTATTTCGGGCCCAGAAGAAGTCCAAACTCCTACTGAACCTGTTTCAGTGGAACATTTTCTTCTCTTGTATTTTCTTTTTTCGGCTTTGCCGTTAACTCTCCTTTCTTTTTGCGGTTCAAACGGATAAATACCACTGCAAGAATTGAACCTGGGGGGAAATGTAATTGAAGTTGTAATTATTCTGAAGTGCTCTTTTAGTATGCAATGTCATAATCACATCGCCAAAACGTGTGATCCAAACCCCTTTAATTATTGAGAATCAATTCTTTCTCCCTCTCTCATTTCAGCACAATTGTTTACCCAAAACCGCATCACAGGATTTTGGTTTGAGGTCCAGTGACCGTGTATTTTTAGGCAAACGCGGCAGCTGCCAATTGCGCACAACAATGTCCCACAAACACCCATGGAGTGAGTGAGAAATTTTATTTTGAGGGATTTGTTGCCCATGACACTGGGGGAAACTCCCTGGTCTTTTCGAATAGTGCTATGGGATCTTTAACAACCACTTGAACAGGCAGACAGAACCTTGGTTTAACATGTCATCTGAAGGAAGGCACCTCCGACAATGCAACAACCCCCAGCACTGTATTAGACTATGTCAATTCAAGTCCTGAAATGGGGCTTGGCTTGAAGCCACAACTTTCTGACTGAGAGGTAAGAGTGCTACCATCTGAGCCAGGTTGACACACAATTGCCACCAAATGCTGTCTTGTAGTCTTGGTGCACAGAATACCAAAGTCAATCAATCAGAGTTTGGCTCATATTCCATGCAGCAGGATGGAAAGCCAGTGATCAAGGGGACCGACAGTAAAGGTGGTGGCAGTCAGAAACCATAGTTGGCTTCAGGCCAAACCATTCAGCTGAAGTCGGGGGTTTAAAGGCAAGTTTGGATCACATTTTTTTACATGATGTGATAAATATCATATCACAAACCATACTTCATGATCCATTTTTCTTATAACATTTTCATATCGTCAGCAGCACCATTGTTAAGAGGTACCTACCTATGAGAACCAAGGATCCCAGGAGCAATCCTAAGGCGAGACCTATTGATGCATGTCCAATATCTTCTATTGGAACGAAGCAGGTTTTTGCTGTTGAGCATTTGCAGACATTTACTGAGGGACAAAAAAGACAAACATGCAAAGTTTATATCAGTTGACATTGCAGTTTTTAGTTACTTTATTTGTCTACGGAGGGAAATAAGATAAACTGCTTCCTGGGGCTGGTCAGTGCAGTGTGATAGCACATTCCCCTGTAGGACCTGGTTTTGAATGCAACCTAGACAGATTAGATGCAAATTTCCTGGAACTGAAGGCAACAAAATGTCTGTGACATGGGTTAGGATAGTCTCAATCCAATTCCAATTACTCAATGGGCTCACATTACAGCAGCAGCCTTTTAGATGGCATTAAGCTAGAACATTGTATGGAGTTTACTGAAGGAACAGACACAATGAAAAGATAGAAATAGGAAAAAAAGGTATTGTACAGTAACAAAAATTATATAGCGCCTTGGCAGATGCAATAAAGTGTGAGGTCGTGGATGGTAATGGAAGTAATTGTTGGTCTTTGGCAGTGTTGCAGAATAAATGAGAGAGATGTAGAAATCCTATTAAAGAGGCTTGTAAATTGGTCAGAACATTAATTGTGGAGAGTTTTATTTTACATTTCCTTAATAAGAAAAGCAGAAGTACAACACACCAACTATGGGTCACCCACAGCGGGATAACCTACATTTGAAGCGGAGTTTGACATGATGTGTGTGACACACTTCTGTATTCCTTGTTCAGGAATTCTGTCAGATATCAATGTACATGAGAACCTACCACCTCAAAAAACAGAAGGAAAAAAACAAAGAAGGGCTTCAGAGATGGTGAAGTCCCACAGTTTGACAAAATTCAACTTTACTAAGTTATCCTGTTAGAAAATATTGGAAGATTCTTAAATTCATTCTTCATTCGGAAGTGGCTTTTCTACAGTACCTGAAAGGAACTGTGGAAAACCGGTGTCGAAAAAAGGATTTTCCAAAATTCTATTTAGTTTGAAATGTGATCCAGGATCCATTGGTCATGATACTATAATAATAATGATAATAATAATAAATAATAATCCTTGTATTTGATATATCACCTTCTCACCTCATCGAGATATCGCAAGGTGTTTACCCTGTCTATAGAAAAGTGGATTGATTGTGTATTTTGTGAATAAAAATCGCCAGCCAGTTTGTGCAAAGTAATATCCCAGAAACAGCCATTGAGTGAGTGAGTGAACAATTTTATTTGGGGGATTTGTTGGCCAGGACATTGGGTGAAACTCCCTTCTCTTTCGAATAGTGCCATGAGAACCTGGTAATACTTTAAAGTCAACCTGAACAGGCAGACGGGACTTCGGTTTCACGTCTCATCAAAAGGACGACACCTTCGACAATGTGACACCCCTCAGCGCTGCATTGGTGTTTCATCTTAGACAACGTTATTCAGAGTACTGATGTGGAACTTGAACCCATAACCTTCTGATTCAGAGGCCAGAGTGCTACCACTGAGTCAGGCTGACACACCATCATAATAATAATGATAATAATAATAATCCTTGCATTTGATATAGCACTTTTCACGTCTTCTCGACGTCTCAAAGCGCTTCAGAGAATAGACTGTAAAGTGAATTGACTGTATATTTGTGGGCGAAATGTGGCAGCCAAACGCGCACAGCAGTGTCCCACAAACAGTAGTGGATTGAAATGACCAGTTTATTATTTTTTTNCTTTGAGGGATTATTATCAGGCGTGTGGAGTAAGGAAACTTGCCCAAGGTTTCACCCTGCCAGGAATCGAACCCAGGTCTCTCGCTTGCAAAGCGAGTGCTCTAACCACTGAACTACAGGACTCCACAGTATAGTATGTATCATCAGATTGGAAATGCTCTTGGTCTGCAAATGCAATCGTGATGCAGAAACACGGAATGACCAATGTGTTACCTTGGCTGTTGATATAGCTGAGATCTGTACCTGCTTAAAAGAGTGAATGTATCTGAATGACTGAAAAACCTTGGGAGATAGAAGCTCCAGTTTGCTTTACAAAGTCCCAAATCCTAACCTCCTGTTTCTTTTGGGTTTTGTGCATGTCTCTGTGTGGGTGTGTGGGGGGGTGGGGGGGGCTTGTGGGGGAATGTGCAATGTGTCCAATAGATAAGCTGTTTTCAGAGATAATAAGATTAAAACTTAAATAGTATTTACTTTGTATCAACGCATCTCCCGAACGAGGTGGCTCGTCATTGTCAAAAATCTTCACAGGGACTTCGTACACTTTTTGTTCATAACGCTTGTGCTTTGTGACAATATAAGCATGACTTCCTGTGAAGGCAAACATATTCCATCATGTTTCATTTTGCTGGAGGGTTATTCTACTCTGTGTGCGCCAGGTAGTAAGTTTGTTGATGTGACTTTGGCTCTATGCATTTGTACATTAATGTAATGCAAATTATAATGTATAGTTCAACTGTCTGATGACCAACGTTCTCATGAAGGGGGAAGCAGATGATAGGTGGATATATTAAGCAGATATGATCCATTGGTGTTTACTTACCATTTATTTTCTCGAGTTTCCAATCATTATTTGAGCCGTCAATAGAAAATGTGAAGGGAAAACCGTACTGCGAATCAAAATCTGCAGCCTTGAAGATCATCTTCTCCTCTTTCATAACAGGGAAACAAGTGAAAAGCTTATTGAAACCGTCTGATACTCTAGGGTCATTGTCATTGATATCAAGCAAGAAGATGGCGACATCAACTGTAGAACTCATGAAAGAACCACCTGTGAAAAAACATAAAGCAAGCAACACTTCAGTTCAATGTTTGCGTCCTGCTTCATTAAAGAACAACAACTACAACTTGCATTTATATAAACTTAATAAATTGGTCAATTTAATGCACGACTGTTTGTGGGACACTGCAGTGTGCAATTGGCTGCCACATTTCATCCACAAATATACAGTCAACTCACTTTAGGGTCTATTCTGTGAAGCGCTTTGAGACGTCTAGAAGATGTGAAAAGAACTATATCAAATTCAAGAATTATTATTATATAGCGCCCTTCACACAGGGTAGTGTCCCAGAACACTTCACAGTGGCGGGGTCTGACATAATGAATGGGCATAATGTTACTTCATTCAGAGAACTTTTTCTTCATCTTTTACCATGATTAATGAATATGATAACTTGCCAATCATCAATCCTCATTGAGCAGTTTCTACCTTTAAACTTCCTAGCTTATAATAACTAACCTTTGTATTTGATATGGCATCTTGGGAGGACATCTGAAAGTGTTTCACAAGATTCACTGTAACATGTAATTCTATATTCTGGAGGTGAACGTGGCAGCTAATTTTGTACATTAATATTAATCTCCCACAAGTAGCAATGAAATGCATGACCAATTCTATATGGGGAGCATTGGTCAGGGTACTGGTAGAAACTCCCTACTGTTTTAAAATAGTGCAATGGATCAATAACTTCCACCTTAAAGGTGGATGGGATCTCAGTTTAATGTCTCTTCTGAAGGACAGCACCTCTGATAATGAAGCACATTCCCCAGCACTGCATTGGAGTGTCAGCCTGGACAGTGAGTTCAAAGTTGGTCACTGATCTTGAAGAGGTGAGAGTAGTACCAACTGAGTCAGGCTGATAACCTAAATAATAATCAATATGCCAAATGTTTGCAAACTCGTTATTCCTGCAAACAAACACACTAAAAAATTGTAAAATAACAGCAGGAGCAAGTGCCTTCTGGACCACTGAGAGTAACAACAGGTGTGCTTCTATTCAGTGATCATTGCCATACCTGGTATTCCTGTTATCAAGTGAGTCACCTTTTCAACATTCTTATCAGCGGATGCCATGGAAACAGGCACATTACCTCCCCCTCCAATAGATTAGTGCAGTGACAAGCCTTATGACTTGCACAATACCCACTGAATGCGGAGGTGTAGGTAAAAATGTTTTCTTGGATTCAATCCACCAGGGATCGCGAGTAGTTTGAAAAGATACCTTATTACACAACAGTTTGATTTTTGTCTGAAGCAGTGTGCTTGGCAACCCAAATAGCATTTTCTGGTTTCAAGAACCATTGCATTTCAAAAACATATATATACAGTTTTTACCTTGTTCCGTTGCAGTAACCTTTATATCATACTTAGATTCCGTTTCACGGTCCATTTCTTTATTGATGAAGATCTCTCCAGACTGAGCGTTAATCTTCACCCAGGAGAGTGGATCAGATGTTATTGAATAACTAATTAAAGAGAAGTTGTCCATTAGTACCATTTCTGAGGCAGAATAATTCCATTCAATTATAATAATCCTTGCGTTTAATATATTGCCTATAACATCGAAACAACTCAAACTACTTCACAGTAACTGCTATTAAATGTGTTTGTAGGTGAATGTGATATCCAATTTGTATATGAAATGTGCCATAAACAGCCAAGAAGAGAATAGTCCATTTTAGCTAGGGGACTGTTTACCAGAACATCAGGAGAAACTTTCATCTGTTTTTGAATAGTGCTACGAGAATTTTTAGTGTCCATCTAAACAGGCAGACGGTACCTCAATTTAATATCTCATCCAAAGAACGGTACCTCTAACAATGCATCATACCCCAGTACTGCACTGGAATGTCAGTCTAGACCAACCTTCTGATTCAGAGGTGAGAATGATACCAACTGAACCAGGTAGACACCAAAGTGTTGAGTTTGCCTATAAAATAATAACATCAACAACAAGAACAACGTGCATTTATATAGCGCTCTTCACGCTGGATGGTGTCTCAGAGCGCCTGATACAGTAGGTGCGCTAAAATACAATCACCACCACAACAATAACTTGCATTTATATATCACCCTTCACAAAGGTGCTATATCAAATATGAGTATTATTATATTTTAATAACATATTATAACAAGCTATATTAAGATAGATTAGATAAAAATGAGATAAGATTAGTAAGAAATGGTTAATGCAGGATACAAAATAGAAGAAAAATTGATGAGATTGATAATGGTTTAAAATATTTCTTGTTGAAATGTTATTTATCGTAATGATCTAGGTGAATTTCATTGTAATAATGCAATCTTTGAGTTTGTTTTTGGTAAAATGTAAGAGTTTTTTTGTGTCAGAACGTGTGAGCTGAAAGTGCACAGAACCAGTCCCACCAAAGAAAGGAGTCTCCTGAGCTGCTGGCACTCTAAGGGTTAAATGCAAATCAATGTTATTACTACATTATTTCATCACTTGCCAATGAAAACACATGAGCAAGGTCAGATAACTGATGTAAGTTCACTTATGTACGTCAGTGTCAGTGATTTATATCACATTACAGCAACAGCAAGGATCCTCTAAAAGGAGAAGTATGTAAATACACATGTAGGAACTATGACAATACAGAGGCCAGATTGATTTAAGTGTCTGTATGAAATGATAAGGGCAAAGAAAATGTGAGAATTTCTTGCTCGTTGATTCAACTTTCACAATTCTAACCAGTTCAATTTCCAAGGATAGCAAGTTTTGGAGACTCTGAAATTGAAATGCAAAAAATCCTTTACTTTAGCACTTTTGTGAAGATCTCCTGCCCGAATTATCATACACCTGTGACTGCACAGCTAGATCACTAAAATATATGGAATAACAAAAAGACCGCACAGCTTCTTGTAATCTATACAATCTGGATTGTCAGTGACTGTTCCTGATTGAGGTGAATGATTCACTGGCCCAGTCTCCAAGAGGAAAAAATTCTCCCTGGTGGTTTTTCAAGATTGACAGTGATTTTAAGAGTGTCAATGAGGGAGTGAACCGAAAAGGCTCCACCAAACTAGCAAGAATGGTACCCATATCCGAACATGGATGAGCATCATATCTGGATCCATTAATTTGATCTCAATAATTACAAAACAAATAGAATCAATAATCAGAATCAAAATGGGAGAGTATGCATAAAAATAGGCTGATAAATGTCACCCAAATGTCCCACATAATAGCAATTATTTTTGAATCTTCTTCACATTTTCCGGCACTCTATGAGGGAAACAATTCTTCTCAGCTTTATCCTTGTTAATCTCTACCTGGCTGTCTCTATGTGGGTCTATACCATTGCTTCACACTTCAGAGGCTTGACATTTCTCATAGTTTTAACCTTTAATCATCTTAAATTTAAGGTCATGCAGAATTTTAGAAAATTCTTTTTGAAAGCCAGTTTTCTACAGAATGCAAGAACTGTTGAAATTGGCTTCCAAGGACTGAAATTAATGATTTTCCAAAATTCTGCACACTTTGAAGTAATGACAATGATCTTATGGCTAAGTTCATATGAAAATTTGGGCCCAGATTCATTATCAGCCACTGTTTGTCCTCCAGAGTCTTCAGTACCTCAGCTTACTTCCTTCAGGATCCAGAGCCTCCACTTTTAGCAAGGATGTGCCCACTTTGCTATTCTCGTGTATCGATAGCTGATATGAAGAATTTAAGAAATACGGTGGCTCATGAACATCTTCCACCATGAAATTCAGGGTTGCGGTAGAGTTGTATTTCTTTCCATCTACCAGTTGCTCTGGATTTTCGGCAATTATGATTAAGTTATAGGATTGTTGTGTTTCAAAGTCCAGTGGCTGCAGGAATAGGAAATAAAATAAGTTGTTAGGAAATATGGCCAGAAAGTTTTAACAACTTGGACTTTCGCAAAGGATCAACATTTTAAAATGTTTCACAAAGACAATAAGAATCCCCAAGCAGAGAGGAGACAAGAGAAAGGAATTTAAGGGTATTGAGCACAAGAACAGTCAAAAACATCTTCCAGCAACGTCAATCTCTGGTTGAATATCTACCTTCAGTAAATTGGAGAGGCAATTGCACAGTATCTTTAGTTCTGAAGGTTTAAATGTAATATTTTGTCCAAGGATAGCTGGAAATCAACTTTAATCCAAGATTTTCTGGAAGGGACTTTAGGAAAAACACAAACCCACCATGGAGGTGATTCCATATCCCAAATACAGAATGCCAGAGCTCACTAAAGGCAGAGCCCTCCTTCACTTTCCCAAGGTGCACAACTTTAGCTGGTTAAACTCCAGACTCTGGAGTCCACAAGCCTTGCCTCTTGCCAGCTTGATCTCATATTTTATTATGGGATTAGGTAAGGACAGTGTGTTTTTCTAGAAGAAAGAGTACATTCCACTCCAGATACAGGAAAAATATCATGTGTGGTGGTATACACATGTAGCATTCTCAGTCTGGTTTGCAAACTCTTAAGCTTGGTGATGGGTTTCCATGTGTGGTCAGACGTGCAGCTGACCAAAAAAGATGTTCTCCAAGACTAGCAAGTGTTTTTTTCCGTAAATTATTATTATTGTATTTCAGGACACAATGTTCACTTGCAGTGACTTGTGTTAAAACTCAGTGGCATGAATCACAGACTGTCTTATCTGCACTTGAGATGAGGAGCCTATGATGAGTCATCCTGTTCCATTCCCCATGAGATTGAAATAAATGCTTTCTGACACAAGGGTCAATGTATTTGAACTCTTCACTTCATGCACAACACAGAGGAGGCTAATAGAGTTTCCATCTACAGTACTTTGAAGTTCAGTCGGAATTCTCATAGTTTTCTGAAAATCCCACATTGAAACATCTGGCAATTTGCAAGGCATAACAGGACAAGGGGGGTGGGTGGGGGGTTGATGAGTGGATAGCTACAATGCCAGAAGATTTAGGGACTTTTATCTAGAAAGCCTGAAACTTGAACTGTGCATACTTTGGGTCAGCAGCCTAGCGGCTGAAGGCTGTCAGCCTAGTTCAACTGTGAAGTGCTTTGAGACTTCTGACAATGTGATAAGACACTAAATCAAATGCAACTATTATTAATTATTATTATAAATAATAAAACCTATTAAATATTTTTCATTACATTACCTTAGCCAACATCACTGATCCTTCATTTGTCCTCACATCAGTTGTTATTTTGAAACTTCCTCTGTTGTCACCACTTATGATTTTGTACAATATTTCAGAGCTCCCGGTGGAAGGCTCATCCTTATCTGTGGCCTGGATTTTAATCAATACTTTGTCCAATGGAGTGTTTTCTGGTAGTTTGATTGTGCCATACTGTGCACACACACAAAGACAGAAAAGACATTGTTGAAAAGATTTTTGTAAACAGGTTGGTCTGTGCTATTTGAATACAATCACAATAAGATTTATCACAAAAGGAATATAAGCTGTTTTAGTAATGCAACAAAGTTGGATTGTGAAACAAACTGTGGGGTTTGTCACTTCCAGTGTCTTCAGTGCAATAAATAGTAACATGAGTAAGACTGGACAGATACTGAACACAATTATGAGTAGATTTTACCCCCTTTATAAACAGGGCTGACTATAACAGTTAGTTTGCAGCAAGTTTGGAACTGGAAGACAAATTAATTTTAATAAATATTTCTGTAATGTTTTAACTGAGTCTGCTTCCTATTGTTCTCTTTTAGAGATGTCCTCAAGCAATGCAACAGGACTCAAGTTCATTGAAGCCTCAAAATATCCAAATATCCAGAGAATCCAAATATCTTCTCACTTTAGCCATTAGACTAACAATTGACCTAAAGTTTGAGATGATGCAGAATTTTGTAAAAATCTTAAATTCAGCCTTAATGTGGAGGCAGGTTTTTTGCATTCTCCATAAGTGCACAGTAGCCAGAGCATTGTACGATTGGGCTTGACTTCTGGAGATATGAACTAAACTGAGTTGGCAATGCAGCCCACTATCCAAATTCTGTGAGCGCATCATCCTCATCCTTGCTCAAACCTGCCGGCTCTCCATCTCCCAGTAGATCAAATTAAATATTCACATCCTCACTTTCAAAAGCCTCCGTGGTCTCACCCCACCCTACCTCTGTGTCTTTACTGCCCCAGACACTTTCTCTGTTTCTAACAATCAGTAATATCACTGGAAATAACAATAGAAATATCACTGGAAATAATAATATTGTTGGATAACAGCAGGAGCAACACTCGCCAACATAGTGACTGATCATTCAGATGCTACAGAGATGCATTGAAACTGTCTCTACACTTACCTCTGTTTTCACAAAGACAGGGATCTGGTCGTTGATATCAATAACAATGATTTGTACAATGCATTCAGTGCTTAGCTCTAGAAAAGAAAAAAAAGGCTTCAGTTACAAAAGAGACCAATAAACTTTAATAAACTTAGAAGTAAAACCTTAGCAGTGACAATGCGGTAATATTTTTAAGCGCTCCTCATGTAGCTTTGGGAATGTTCAATATCTATCAGTAGGTGGAGCACTCTTTTCCAGTTAGTGGATTTGCCTTCCTCCAGCTCGCCCTACATTGATATTGAATCGGATAATTTTTAAAAGTAATTTTTAGTCTTTGGAGAGACGTCCCACTTTTGTTGATTAGTATATGTTTCTGGGCCTGCATTTTCCCTACTGGAAGGTATACATCTGAGGTTAGATAAGGACATTAATGGAATTTGTTGCAATGACCCTGTGAAAAATTGCCTCAACACTTACTGTGAAGGCTTACATTTGAATACAGGAATGCCGCAAACCTGCATGTCGACTATCCACATGTCCACTATTCTAATGCAGAAGGAAGCTGGGCTGCGACGTGGGCACAGATTTTTGGTTGTGTTCATCTGCTGCTAACAGATTTTTCCCCAAAGTATATGAGGGAGAGAGATTTGAATCAGGTAACTACAGGATAAGAGAGAGAGTCACAAGCACTCAGAACCTGTTAAAGAGTGACACACACAAAAATACACTCACACTTAGAACATCAGAAAGTGACTGAAGCACAAACACACAGAGATCTGGTATCTGCATTGTTTTCAAACCCACAGTGGGGTAGGTCCCAGTTAGTGCGAATATCAGGCTCTGTACTCTAATGATTTCTTGGACAAGGTACCGGAAGACAACTACCAGAACATAACCCCAGTTGAAGGAAACGGGAGTCAAATAGCTTCAGAAGAGGCAGAGGAGATGGAAGCAAATTTACGATGAAAAGATTAAACGAAGTAGTTTTTGCCCTCAGTTTGCTCTGATAGAATGGCATTTATGAAACATGTCATTGACAACACTGACATTCGGAGTGATTTTTTAATTGAGGATGTGAGCTGCATTTTCCCAAACCGTGGCATTATATAAGTAGATACAGAGACAAGTAGGAGGAAAATGGCCCAGAGGCCCATCGAAGTCACTCCCAAAGAACACCCAAGGCAATCTCCCTGTTACACTGCAGGGGACATCGTATGGCAGGTTAGGCTCCCACTCTGTAACTTCTGATCCTCTCTTCCTTAAGAAATCTGTATAGATTCCTCTCGAACGAGTGGATCCTATTTGCACAATTACAGAAGCGTTTGCTAAAGATGGCCAGTACTCCCTGGTGAAGAAGGCTTTCATCATGTCCAGTCTGAAGAGTTTTCCCTCCAGTTTAAAGGAATAACCTCGAGATCTGGAACACGCATTAACCGTGAAATCTGTGTCACCTGACATTCTGTCGATGCCATGTCAACAACATTGCCCCTCAGTCTCCTCTGCTCCAACGTCAACAGCCACAGTTGCTCAATTATTTTACTTGTACGGTTGCCTTTTAAAGAATGGATCTAGCCTGGTGATCCTTCTCTGCATCTTCAATGGCTTTATATCTGAGCTAGGTGGATCACACAAACTGGAGACAGTGCTTGAGGTGGGGCCAGTACAGAGTTAAGATAAGACTCTTCAGATATCTGTTATATATCCCAGTACTGAATGTCTGCCGAACACTGTTTATTGATTTTAGTTTGGTAAGATTAATACCTTCTGGATTTATTCCATTGTCAGAAACCAGGATAGTTAGATTGTAGTGTGATGCTTCATGTTTCTGCAGATTCCCCTGATTCCGACCAATATTTCCAACATATTGATCGATTGAGAATAGTGAGTCTTGTGGTTTTGTAGGCCATTGTTTGACAATTTGATACTTCAATAAGCTATTTTCACTGGTGGGATCATCCCTGTCTGTAGCAATCACATTTCCAATAGAGCTTCCTGAAAAATAAGGAAAAGAACACGTCATTCAGGAAAATATCATTTACCCCCATCAAGCCTGCTATTTCCATCCTGAGCAAAACTTTCACCATCATGAACATCACTCTGCCCACACCATCATCGGGGAAAGGTTATGCATTGATACACCATTACCCCAAAGGAAACGAAGCAACAAAACACACAGTCACTACACTTTACAGCAAATCCTGCAAAGTGCTTTGAGATATCTCCCAATGTGAAAGGCGCTAGACGAATTTTAAAAATGATTGTAATTATTTTAATTATTAACAAAAATATTGGGTCTAATTCTAATTATTTCTTAATAAGGAATACGATTCAAGGAAATGGGATGCATTCTGTTAACTGGAAGTGCAGCACGTTGTCCATTGGAACTCCTACCTGATGTGATCTACTTTCAGAAAATAAAAAAAATTCTAAAAGAATTATGAAGGAATCTCATCAAGAAATACTATAAATTACATCTTATTTAATCTGTTTTCACACCTCAACTAGTTCTTATTATACTGCATACTTATAGTGCATACATCTGCACTCTGCCCCTAGTGTCCCAGAAGCTAGCCTGATCTGCACAGTATATATTTATTAATGGTAAATCTATCCCCCTATCAAAATTTGCAGACATTTAATTAATACATTCTTTGTGTCAATTAACTCTGGAAACATTTTACCTTAACTTTACGCTGGCAATGAAAGCTTCTTTGCTTATAATTAAGATGAAGATATAAAAACTATAATACAACTATACTTGTGTAATAATAATCTTTGCATTTGACATAGCACCTCATCAGGTCTTCGAGAGGTCTCAAAGCGCTTCACAGATTATACTGTTTGTGGGCGAAAAGCAGCAGCCGATTGCAGCAGCCAACGCTTTGGGACGTCCTCCTGACGTGAAAGGCGCTCTATAAATGTAATTTTGTTGTTGTTGCACAGCAGTGCCACAAACAGTCATAGATTGAGTGCCAAATTATTATTAATAATTTTTTAAGGGATTATTATCCCCTGAAATGCAATCCGCGACTGGACTAACTACCGGGTTCCTACTTACTGATAGATAAACAGAGGCATGTGGAGTAAGGAAACTTGTCCAATGTTTCGCCTTGCCCAGGTCCTCTCGCTCCAGAGTGCTCTAACCACTAAACTACAGGACAAGTGTCATGATTGGTAGTCTAAAACAACAATAATATTGCTTGGATTTGACGTTGTCTTTCATATTGGAAGGACGTCTGAAAACATTTGACAGCATTCACTATAAATTGCAATGAAGTATATTTTTAAGAGAATACTGTAGCCAATTTGCTCAGAGCAATGTTCCACAAACAGCCATAAAGTGAATGTTCAAATTTATCTGGGGGAATGCTGGCCAGGACACAAGGAGAAACTTCCTTCTCTTTTTGAATAGTGCCAAGGAAACTAACGTTCAGCTGAACAGGGAAACGGGAACTCGATGTTTAATGTCTCAAATGAAGGATGGCACCTCTAACAAAGTATAAAAAGGATTTCTTAATAAGAAATCCAAGTTACATAAATTAGTGTCGAAATCTGATAACCACAAATACTTCACCCTGAGCCTTGGAAATTGAGGACAACAAATCAATATCCTGAGTTCCCATGAGAATTCTAAAGAAATTCCTTATTAAAGAATACTGCAAATCAGACGCGAATTCCTACTTTGTGGATACAAAGGTCATGGAAAAATGTTTCTTTAAAGCAACAACGGGAAGGAAGTGGGAAAACAGACACTTCTGCCGATGTAAATTGTAAACCAGAAAATCGCATTCAGAGTAATACTTTGTTGAATTGATTGACATTAGTTTGCACATTGCTTTTCCTCAGAAATGGGAATTTCCATGTGTAGGTGACACCACATGGAACTCTCAGTCTGGTTTGGATACTTTTAAGTGTGGTGATGGGTTTCTGCAATTGGCAAACACCCAGCTGACCCTATTTTCTTACTTCAGGCTGGTGGCTCAGTAATGCTCACCTAGTTTTTCATTTTCTTGAACTTCAAATGTAGCTGGTTCACAAACTGGTGCATTGTCGTTGATATCTTCTACTGTGACGTGAATATTCAGAGGCTCTTCCAGAGCATTTCTTTGGTTATCCAGCGCATACGCTAAAAACACATACTAAACATACACAAAAGACAAGATTACTCTCCCAAGTCAGTCTTACCAGTCTTCTCTGGTGCACAAGTAAACAGTCTTGTCACAATAAACCCTTCTATTTACACCAGGATGATTCAACAACATTATACACCCAGGGTCTAAAACGCGGCATTTCACATTTCTACCATTTTAATATGAAATATTCAAATTATATCCTGAACAATTATATCTGTAACAACAAGGGGTGGTGGCGGGGGTGGGGGGATTGCTAAATCTCTCTCTGTCTCTTCCTGCAAAAAGCACTTCTCAAAACTTGTCTTAAATAGTTTTAACATATCATATTTTTGGTAGATTAACCAGGCTAGAGATGTGTTTCAGAATTGCTGCTTCCCAGAATAGCTGCTGCTCAGTCCATATAGATAGAACTTTACCTCATCCCTTTCTTCTCTGTCAAGGGGCTTTGTCACACTAATGTTACCATAACTGTCAACTGCAAAAGGTAATTTGAAGTTGCTCCTCTCCTTTGACCTGAGTTCATATATTGCACCAGGGTTGTTCCACTGCACCTGGATAAGAGAAATTATACATATTTAAGAAAGCAGAACTAAGGAATTAAATCAGCACAGACAATAGCAAAAGAGTAGATAATACAAAAGTAAAAGGCAGTTTGTCAACATTAATGTATCTATTAATATTCTAGTCTTCACTTCCTTGTGAAGTTCTCATTATCTAATCTGTAATCTTAAAATTTAAGATTGTGAAGACATGTGGAAAATTCTTAAATTCAGTCTTCATTTGGGAAATATTTTTCCTCAGTTCCTAAATCTAAGTCCATGAGGGATGTTGGGCTTCTGCTGCACTCAGCACAAAGCACAGAAAATGTAGAAATATTCACTTCTTCATCTTCATCACACCTAATAATAATCCCTCAAGAAAAAAATTGGTCACTTCAATCCACGACTGTTTGTAGGATACTGCTGTGCACAATTTAGCTGCCGCATTTCGCCCACAAATATACAGTCAATTCACTTTACAATATATTCTGTGAAGTGCTTTGAGACGTCTAGAAAACATGAAAAGCGCTATATCAAATGCAAGGATTATTATTATTATTAGATTGATTTCACAAGATCACAAGATTGGACTGGATGAAGAAAGCCTTTCGGCCCATCCAATCTCATCCCTCCAGAACACCCACCCTACCATCCTCCCATCACACCATCAAGCTGCTTTTTAACTGTATCCAATGACTTTTCCTCTACTACCTTTCCTGGCAACCTGTTCCAGTCGTTGATTACCCTTTGAATAAAGAAAAACTTCCTAGTATCTGCCTGACGTTACCCTTTACAACTCTAAACCGATGTCCTCTTGTTCTTCAGTCATGTTGCAAACCAATATTTGAATCTGGGTTCACTTTGACATTTCGGATGTCAGGATTAAGCCACTATCTACTACCACTATCAGCCTGGCTCAGATGTAACACTCTTGCCTCTGAGTCAGAAAGTTGTGGGTTCAAGTCCCATGTAGGGAATTGAACTCACATAGTCTGAGCAGACACTCCAGTGCAGTGTTGGAGATGTGCTATATTGTTGGAGATGATGTCCTTTGGATAATACATTAAACCGAGTTCCCATCTGCCTGTTCGGGTAGACTCACATAATCTAAGTGGATGTTAAAGATACCATTGATGGTTCCAAAAAGAAGGGAGATTCTCCCAGTGTCCTGGCAACAGCATGTCATCATTCACTTCATGGATTTTGTTGACATTGCTGTCCGTGAACTGGCAGCCTCCAGTTCCTAAACCCCTAACCTCTGGAACTTCCTCCCCCATCATTCTGTCTTGCTTCCTATTTTTCTATCTTTAAGTCCCATGTCAAACCCAACATTTTCGAATGCATCTATACCCTCTCACCCATCCTCCCCTCTCCTTTGCTTGGCATCCAACCCCATTCCTGTAAAGCACTCCCGAGACATTACCCTAAATCAAGGTGCTATATAAATCAAGCTATTATTCTTCAAGATCCTCACACTCATGTTCAAATCCATTCACTCCCTGGCACCTTCCTAACTCTCTGACCTCCTCACTCCCCAATCTCCCACTCAGCGCCTCCTCTCAACTCGCACCAGCCTCCAGCTTGTCCATCGCACCCTCCACTCCACCATTGGAGGTCGCGCTTTCAGCCACTACGTCCCGAAACTCTGGAACACTCTCCCTCAATCCCTCCGCCTTGCCCCCTCTCTCCCCTTTTTCAAGTCCCGCCTGAAAACCTTCCTTTTTGACCAGGTTTAAGGTCACTTCCATTCTCCCTCCATTCTCATTGCAGGCTCAGAGTCAGGCTCTGCCATTGTTAAGTACTCTGAGACGCTACCCTGCAGGCACTATACAAATGCAAGTTGTTGTTGCTGTTGTTATTGATTATTCCTCCTAACACTTCACTTATCTTTTCTTTCACCTGGTAAAATCCTAACTAAAAGTACAAAGAGGTTGTGAGATACTGCATTATTTTAAAACACAAAAGCAGAGACCAGTGCAAAAATACAATGTCAAAATCATCTGGAGTGTGGCTTGTTAATGCTAAAAAGGATCCCTGCAGTGGTGAGAGACGAATGAGGAAATTCCGTCCTATTTAAAACCACAAGTGACTTGAACAGGCACGTACCAACATAATGACGAAAACCAACATTATCGCAGATGTTCTCAATTGCGTTTATTTAAAAGAAAGGTTATAATTTGCGACTAAAATGGAAATAGCTTGGCAATGATATTTTTGATTAAAATCGATGTTTGTAGATTTCAAAACTGAGGGTTTATTTAATGTAGACTGCAAATTGATCTTTCGTTACGAAAAATATTCACAATGTTTAGCATTAGATTCAATGTGTTTACCTCAGAAACATAATTTTAGAATTTTCATTAAGTAATTGATTTTTAATTAGAAAGTGATAGTTTTATGTGTGGGTTAGAACCATTGCTTACTAATATGCATCAAGCTGCTGATCTCTACTGTGATGAAGCAATCAATTAGAAAAGTGGATAGTGAGAGAGAGACACACATATCCACAAAGGAAGAGGAGGAGAGACACAGAGAGGGAGAGAGAGAGATAAAGGCAGGAAGGCATTCTGTCTCACTTTCTCACCATTTCCCGTCCTCTCTCTGTTTGTCTCCCTCTTTTCTCTCTCCCTGTGTTTGTCTTCCTCTCTCTATCTCCCATTTCTTCACTCTGTCTCCTTCCTCCCTCCCTCCATCCCTCCATTTCTCTTTCCCACCCACTGTGTTTATAGTCACTCTGATGAAATCACTTCCTATGTAGGGTAAGGTTGGAGGAACTTTTTGAAAAAAAATCTTTAAAGCAATCGTTTTAAAACGTACTTTGGGGAGTTTTTTTTAAATAGGACACACATAGATTTATAATACAAACTTACCCTAATATAAGGCAGGAAGAAATGTATTTTCCACTATTTAAAAACAAGCTCAATGTAATGGAAAGAAGCTTTTTTGGGAGTCAGCCGGGTGTGTGGCACCTGTGGAAACCCATTCCATGCTTAAGAGTATTCAAACCAAGCTGAGATTTCCATGCATCCCACCTACACATGGAAATCCCAGAGATAGATAGAATAGAATGCGCACTCTCTCCTTGGAGGAATGAATGCTGCTAACCTAATTCTGGAAAGTATTACATACAGGTTGGCAAGAGCCAAGGCTTCGTGACCCCAGAATGTGCATTGGGGTACTACTGGAGTCTAACCAGCTAAAACCGCAAAGCTTGCCATTGATATTGCTGTCCGGCAAGCTTTCCCACTGCTTGTCCAGCTAGGAACACCCTACCCAATAGGGCTTTGGCTTTCAGGGTTAACAGGAGCTGAGTGGGTTGACTCCCTGCCCCAGTAACTGGTCTGCCCTTCCAGGTACTGCCAATGAGCCAGGCTGGCTGTGCTGTCATCAGAAGTGCCCTGGAATACTGCAAACTCTCTTGGCTCAGGAACCGGACTACCGATACCGCCACAGAGGGCTGGCTCGATACTGACATTCCATTGCTAGGTGTCACCACGGAGTCAGTTCAGCTCCAATGAGACCTCACTTACCTCCCCCCAAGCAAGCATGGAATAATCAAATCAGATAGCCCTACTCATTAGGGCTTTGACTCAGCGTTAGCAGAAGATGCATGAGAAGAATCATGCTTCTAATGACCCTCCAAGTCCTGCCGATGAGCCAGCCTGGCTAGTCTATCACCAGTAGTGCACAAATTCTCTCTCACAACAATTGATACTGCAGACCTGCCTAACTCAGGAACAAGACTACCAAGACTACAACAGAGGATTGACTCAATTCCGACATTCCATTGCCAAGCATGTCACCTTGGAGCTAGTTTGGCACAAGTATACAATCACTGCATTTGACATCAATTATCTGTGACCCCACTTACCTCCCAATCTAGATTACCAATCCTATCACCTTTCCATCACAGCATCTAGTTGTTATTCAAATGAGTCCAGTATCCTGGCCACAACCACCCTTCCTTGTAAACCATACCTGTTGTTGATTACACACTTTGCAAATAAATATTTTCTGGTGTCTGTTCTAAACAACTGGACTGCACTTACAAGGTTTCACTTCATACGCCTAATTTGACCTAGATTTGGACTTCCAGTATAAAAAATCAAATAGACTAGACCTGGATCATTTGAGATGAATTCAGATATGAAGTACCACCATCACTCTATGTATTAGGTAACTGAAAAATCCAGGGCAAAGACCTGCTGCCTTATCCTTTGGAGTCAATAGCCAAACTAAGCAGATGGAGCCTGTGGTACCATACACAATAAGCACAATATTGACAAGTCTCATAGTTCCAAGGTCCTACCTTCACAATGGTTCTGGGATGAGGTCCAGGAGAATGTTCAACGATATTTACTCGCTTAGGATCCTGCCACAAATTCTCCTTCACAATAATTGATACTGCGGTCGTGCCGTCCAGAAATGGTGGGGCTGAATCCTTTACTTTAATTAGCAGCTCATATTTTTGTTCATCTTCAGGATTGAGCTGCTTGGTGCCTGTAAAAGAGTTTTACACAAGTTATTCTTGCAATGTTTTGATACAGTTACTGAATCCTGTAGGCAAATGCATCATGAAAGAGTAATATTACCCTCATATTTGCTAAAGCACCTATAACATTGAACCTTCTCAAGGTGCTTCACAGATAATTGTTGTCAAATGCAATGACTGTATACTTGTAGGCAAATACATCCACCAATTTTCACATAGCAATGTTTCACAACATCTCTGAAGGATTCTTGGCCAGGATAACAACAGAAATTCCAGTATTTTTTTGAATGGTATTAACAATAATAATAATACTAATCCTTGAATTTGATATGGCGCTTTTCACGTCTTTAGAGTCTCAAAATGCTTCACACAATATACTGTAAAGTGAATTGACTGCATTTTTGTGAGCGAAATGCGGTAGCCAATTGTGTACGGCGGTGTCCCACAAACAGTTGTAGATTGAAGTGACCTAATTATTATTATTATCAGGCGTGTGGAGTAAGGAAACTTGCCTAAGCTTTCACCCTGCCGGGAATTGAACCAGGATCTCTCGCTTGTTAGGCGAGTGCTCTAACCATGGAGCTACAGGATTGCAATAATCCTTGTATTTGATATAGTGCCTTATCACATCGTCAAGGCATCTCAAATTGCTTCACAGGATACACTGTAAAGTGGGTGACTGTGCGTATTTTGTGGGCAAATGAGGCAGCCAATTTTGTGGACAGCAATGTCCTACAAACAGTCATGAAGTGAATGACCAATTTTATTTGGCAGATTGTTAGCTATAACGTCGGGAGAGACTCCCTTCTCTTTTTGAATAGTGCCATGGGATCTTTAACATCCACCTGAATAGGCAGACGGTACCTTGGTTTAACGTAACTTCCTAATGTCGGCACCTTCAACAATGCATTCCAGCACTGACTGCATTGGACTGTCAGCATAGACTATATGGGTTCCAAGTTTATAGCTTGAACCCACAATCTTCTGACACAGAAGGAACCAATTGAAACAAACTGACCATTTACCTGAAGCAGCTCATTAACAAATATTTAATGAAGAAGAAAGAGCTGCCCATCATTTTCATACCATGGTGTCAGGACCACATGGTATTATGTTCCATTACAGTTTGCTAACAAATAAACAGTTTGATAAATATGTTTTGTTGACACTATAAAATAGCATTACACTATAAAATATAATGAGAATGGTATGATTCAACGGGATCTAATTTAGGATATTTGCTAAAAGGATGAGAAGAGCAAATTGTGGCTTTGATTTAATTCAGAATATTCCCAAAATGGCTAATTGCATCTTTTGAATGCTATCAAAGTGCTAAAAAAAATGTGTGGTGAGTAAAAGGACCCGGATTTGTTATTCAGTCTTTTTCTGCACTCTGACAGTTTTCAGAAATCGCACATAGTTTGCAAATGTCGCAAACCAAACCAGCAATTAGAGCTTCACATTCCTTCTGCAAATATCGCAAATTAGATCCCAACGTCTCACTTTTAAATATCATTAAAAGACTTTCAATTACTGTACTTCAGGCAGAATCCAGTTAGCTGTCAACTTGCCTCAGTTAGTAGCACTCTTCCTTCTTAGAATGTTGTAAGTTCAAGCCCCACATCAGAACTTTAAGCTCTCAGTGCAAGGGGAGCACTATATTATCAGAGGTACTGTCCTTCATAATTGAATGTTAAACCAAGGTCCAGTTTGCCTGTTCAGGTGGTATTAAAGATCCAATGGCACTTTTCAAACACAGGAGAAGTTTCTTCTGATGTGCTGGTTAAGAATCATTCAGATAAATTGGTCATGGCTTATTGTGGGACATTGCTGTGTGTAAATTTCACATTACAATTGCACTTGACAGCCATTGAGAAACATTTGAGATGTTTTGACATTATAGGCACTATATCAAATATAAGGATTATTATTAAATGTTATCCACACTGTATTTCACAATATAACCTGAATGACTGTAACAAGAATATTATTTGTTTTGTATCTATGACTAACATATTGGCAAATAATACATTGCCTTAGCACAGTATCATTTGGAAGTTGTTTCCTGGTACCACCTATAATAAAATTATATTCTTGAAAATGATTAACCAGAGGAACTGCCAAAGTTCTAACCTTCTATGTGAATGGAAATGCATCAAGCTAATGTTCTGCATACCTTCATCAGTAGTAGAGATTTCTCCTGTTTCACTATCAATCTGGAAAAACCAGACACCGTTATGCATTGGTAACTGCCTAAAGATGGAGTATTCAAGTTTAGCATTAGGAGTTAAAGGGTCATCCAAATCGGTGGCATTAACATACATGAAAGGTCTTCCTACAAACAAAGAGAGAGATTATTAACTTCACAATCAGCAATCAGTTAAGTCATTCCATATTCTAAAATACAATTTTCATCACCAGCAACTTTCACTTACAGACTTACAGCATGGCAGCAAAAATAAGAGGGCACAGGCTTAGGTTTACAAAGAGCAATGTCAGGACATCAGAAAGAGTCTTTTCACACAGAGGGTAGTTAATGACTGGAGCAAATTACAAGGAAAGCTGGTTGAAGCTAGGATGCTGGACTCATTTAAGATGGAGCTTGATAGGAGAAGACTTGAATGGTTATTTTGGAAGGATGGGATCAAATGGGCCAAAGGGACATCTTCATCCAAACTTTATCATCCTGGATTCCATATACAGACTAGCAGGTAAAAATGTTTTTCCTTTCATCATCCTTTTCAAATCATTCTTTTTCTCTCTACCTCTCTTACTCTGAAGGATGACTGATGCTGGAATTTCCTTCACAGGTGTCAACTGGAATTCTCCTCCAGTATCTTCCTCAAGTCATTGTTTTTCATGCTCCAACACTCACAGTGAGGGTGACCATTATTGGCCATGGGAAGATTCACAGCCATGGGGAGCATTTCTGCTGAGCCCAATGCTATCCTCACCCAGTGATCACACATTTGTACCTTCAAAATGACCTGGTGGAATTGGAGACACTGGTGACAACTGGTAATAATAATGTGATAGAACATGGTTAAACCAGGATGGTGAAAGAGGGTACCATTTACAAGGATATAGGTATTCAACAACAACAAATTACATTTGTATAGCTCCTTTCAGGTCAGGAGGACATACCAAGGCGCTGGACAGTCAGGGATTTGAACACAAACTAGGGGTTGGAATCAGGATGGGTGGAAGGCATGGAGGGTAGGGTAGGAGGGTGACCAAAGCCGCGATAGAACACGAGCGTCTTGAGACTTGCCTTGAAGGAGGCAACAGAGGGAGTGAGGCGAAGGACCCGTGGGATAGCGTTCCACAGGGTGAGGGGAGCGGTGGGGCGGGCCGGGGCAGGAAGTGAAGCAGGCCAGAGCCCCAAGAGGGGGCAGACATGTGTGTATGGAAAGATAGCAGGACCCAGCAGTATAATTGATTCACTGGGGAACAGTGACACTAACTTAACATTCAACTTGATTTAAGAAATGGCACAAGTATGTAACTCAACTCCAGTGAGGTCCCAAAAAATTGAAAGCAAGCAAATGTGGCTCCCATTTTCAAGAAAATTGATATAACCATACCTGGAAACTAGACCCATTAATCTGACTTCAATAATTGAAAAAATGATGGAGTCAACCATCAGAATGAAAATGGAAGATTACCTGTATAAAAATCATCTAATAAATGTCATAGATTTAGAAGGGATAGATCTTGTCTGACCAACCTCAGAATTTTTTGAGAAAGTAACACTTTATATTGAAGGCAGGAACACCTATGGCACGGTGGACCTAAAGACTTTCAAGCGGCATTTCACAAAGAACCACATGGAAGACTCCTTCACAAAGTGATCACTGAACACCAAGGACAAGACATGGTCATAGATTTGGTCATAGATTTGAAATTGGCTGACGGGAAGGAAGCAAAGGGTAGATGTTAAGGGAGCTAGGTCAAATAATAATAATATTCCTTGGATTTGATGTAGCGTCTTATAATGTCTTCGAGACATCTCATAGCACTTCATAGAATACACTGTAAAGCGAATTGACTGTATATTTTGTGGGTGAAACGCATCAGCCAATTGCGCACAGCAATATGGAGATTGATCTTAAGTGAAAAAACCTAGTTAGTTTCTACTGGAGCCCCTCCTGTTCCTTACAATATATCAATGACCTGGATTTGCAGACCCAGTGTAAGATAATTACATTTGCAAGCGATAGCAAAGATCTTACATAGATTGGGTATGTCTATGGGTTGAATTCAGATAAATGCAAGGTACTACATTGAGGAAGTAAGACTAGGAGGGACAAATACTCCATGGATGAAATAGAACATGCCAAGAGAGAAACTGAAAGAGATGTAGGGGTGTTAGTTGACACATGAATTATCACATCAAAACAGTTTGAGACAATGTGAGGCAATAATAAACAAGGCAAACAGGATGCTGAGCTATTTTGACAAATCAGCTGAGGTCAGATCTCAGACGTCGTCCTCAGGCTATACAGTGCTGTGGTCAGCCTTTACCTCACATACTGAGTACAGTTCTGTCTGTCACGACAAAAGTGGTCTGCCCAGGCTCTAGAAATTTACAGCATGTGTGGTTGAGACATGGAAGTTGGACTCATCTAAGATTTGTCATCTGGTTTTATTAATCTGAACCTATTGTATATCTTGTGATATATTTACTTCCCATCAAGCTGCACCAGACAGGGATTTAAAAGAATTATTGTTTTCTCCTTTATCAGTCAGGGATTGTGCAGTCTATTGGTAAATACATCAGTGTGGTATTCCGCCATATAAAGGATCCTCGGTTTGATAAGCCCTGGTCCATATTGAGTTTACTAATCTCTTGTTCTAGATTCCCTACCAGAGGAAATAGTTTCTCTGTAGCTACCCTATCAAATCCCTTTATTATTTTAAAAACCTCAATTAGATCACCCAACAACCTTCTAAATTCAAAGGAATACAGACCACGTTTTATAACCTGACCTCACAATTCAACCCTTTAAACCCTGGTATCATTATATTCTAGGTAAGTACTTTAAGGCAAGCATGTTTAAAAAAAATTCAATTGTATCTTCAGTGACTGTAAACATTACGTACCAGGTCTTGAATGTTGTCGTACAATTCCTTCCTTTTCTTCTCCAAATTCTGGTCGATGGTCATTTACATCAACGACTTTGATTGAAATGATGATAGGTCCTATGAGTTTTTCAGCATTCTCCTTCAGGCCTTCAACCTGAAAGACAAAGACAACAATCAAAATCAACATTTAAACAAGTTTGTTTCATGTGAAGTCTGAAATTTCTCCATAGTTTTAACAGCAATGTATTAAAATTTAAGATTGCATAGAATTTGGGAAAATTCTTAAAATCAATCTTAAATTGGAGAATGACACTAATGCAATGCTAGGGATGTGTTTTTTTTGGTGGTGCTGTAGTTTGGATAATGTGTTAACCCGAGGTCCCATTATTGCTGTTTAGGTGGATGTTGAAAATCCTATGGAAGTGTTTGAAAGGAGAAGGAGTTTCTCCTGGTGTCCTGGCCAACAAATATCCCAAATAAAACTGTTCACTCATTTCATGGCTGTTTGTGGGACATACCTTCTGCAAATTGTCTGTTGCATTTGCCTAAATAATTGCAGACACTGCACTTTACAGTATATCCTGTGAAGCGCTTTGAGATGTCCTCCTGATATGAAAGGTGCTATAACAGATTTAGCTTTCAGGTTCAGGTTTCAGGTCTCTAACCTATGCAACTTCCTCCTCACACATTTGTCTATTAATTTTCATCAGCCATCTATCTGCCCAATCTGCCTCTGCTCTCTGAAGTTGCTCATAGTGCTCTTCATAGATTGCTTTCTGTTACCTTTAGTAAGATGAATGCCTGCTGTTCACGGTCCAGGGTACCATTCAGAATCAGCCACCCATTTGGAAACACTTGGAACCTGTTGGCTTTGTCACCACTGGTCTTAAAAGATTTTACAGCTGGGTCAATTGAAGTGAACTACAACAAAAGAAAATCTTATCAGTGGATTGTACTCTAGATGTGTTTTAACAACATGCATAACAGGAAGTAACTATTGTGCATTAGTAAATACAATATATATTAAATACTTATCAAAAAATCATATCTATTACACAAATGAACAAAATACAAATGAATACTACAAGATGAAAGAAAAGAAAATGTATCTTTTGCCATCACCCAAAAAACACCCAGTCACTACACTTTACAGCATGTTCTCTGCAGTGCTTTGGGATGTCCTCCCAATGTGAAATACCGGTATACCAAATGCAAGGTAACTATTATTGAAAAGAAATGATCATTTATTCATAGGTAAAAGCTGATAAAAGCTGATGTTAATGATCCTTGGACATAACCGAAAGCAAAGGAGAAACACCAAGTGAGGCTCTATTGGTGAGTGGAGTAGACAAAATTAGGAGCCCCAAATTCCTCATGATGTGATTTTTTTAACAAGGAGAAGTCATTCTCAGTCACAGGATTTGGGGAATAGGATTTCAATGCTGTGTCAAAGATACCAGGTTAATACAATTAAAATTAATAAAATTAATCTGGTACCTGATTCCAGAGTATTAGACACTGCTCCAGTGCCCCAGAATAAAGATCTCTCTGAGTTATTCATGTGCTGAAAAGTGCAGCCATGTCGAAACTGCAGAACCTGTGAGTAAAACCATTCTTCTAAAATCGGGGGTTCAGAATAGGTTTAAGGCCATGGTTTTAACCACATTTTCTGGGCAATCTGTAGAATATTCTTTAATTAAGGAAAAGAATGCATTTAATGATGCTACAATTTTCACTGAGTAAAGGATGTTTTCTTCTACAGGTATAAAACATTTAGATTCACAGTTTTTTGATTGACTTTGCATCATTTAAACAAATTGCAGTCTATATTGTAAGAGAACTACCTGAAAAAGCGTTTGAATTCCATTTGTTTCTTCAACAACATTCAGATGCATTGACATGAATGGGCCTGAGGGTAAAGATCCTTGTTGTTCAGTGACGACAACCTGGCAATAATACAAAGACATTAAATCAAGTGTGTGACTGGTTACTTGCACAATGCTTCTCTATGACAAGTGCAAATCTCAAAAGATAACATGACACTGTTTGACAGAATTACTTTTGATGTCCTGGCCAACATTCTTCCAGATAAATTTGTCTCTCACCTCCTGGCTGTTTGTGAGATCTTGCTGTGTGCAAAATGGCTGCCGTTTTTGTCCACAAGAAATGGCCAATTCACTTGACGGTAATTACTTGTGAAATGTTTTGAGCTGTTTTAATGTGATCGAGTGTTATAAAAATACAAATTCTATGAGTTGAGCCCTGTGAAATTCTTATTTTTTATAAATTTTCGTTTTTTGGGGGGAATTTCTTGTCATTTTGTTTTAGCCACTTAAAAATGTTGTTTTATTTCTTTTTATTAATTTACGATGTATAATGGTAATTGCCAGTTTGGGCATTTTGAACTTTGGTGTTAAAAGCACTTTCAAGGCACGTTTGTACCTGCACAATGGACTATTGTGCAAGTGTGTGCAATGGACTATTGTGCGAGTGTATGCAATGGACTATTGTGCAAGTGTATGCAAAGGCCTATTGTGCAAGTGTATGCAATGGCCTATTGTGTGAGTGTGTGCAATGGACAATTGTGCAAATGTGTGCAATGGACTACTGTGCAAGTGCAAGCCTGCCTTGACACGCACTTTGGATTCCCTCTGGACTCTCTCTCCCTTCCCTTTTTGGTTTGTATGGTACACATGTATGCGTTTGTACAGGTGCAGGTTGTACAGGTACACATGTATGCGGATGACACCCAACTCTACCTTTCCTCCTCTACTCTCAACTCCACGACCACCGATGTCCTGACAGCCTGCCTGTCCGACATCGAGTCCTGGACGAGAGACAACTTTCTTCAGCTCAACGTGCGAAAAACCGAGGCCCTCCTGATTGGCTCACGTCAGCGCCTCCGCACCTCAGGCGCTGACACCATCAGCATCCAAGGCTGCACTCTCCACCTCTCAAAGCCAGTCAGGAACCTCGGCGTTTTGTTCGACCCTGAGCTGTCCTTTCTCCCTCACATCCGCACCACAACTGGCACCGCCTTCCATCACCTCCGGAATATCGCCAGACTACGGCACTACCTCACCCCTCACGCTGCTGAAACCCTGGTTCACGCCTTTGTCACCTCAAGGCTGGACTATGGGAACTCTCTCCTCGCCGGCCTTCCCGCCACCTCCCTCCACAAGCTGCAGGTCATTCAGAACTCTGCAGCTCGTGTACTGTCCCGCACCAGGCTTCGCGACCACATCACTCCCACCCTCGCTCGCCTCCACTGGCTCCCCATCCCCCAGAGGATTGATTTCAAGATCCTCATCCTCACCTACAAGGCCATTCACGGCCTTGCTCCCTCCTACCTCTCCAACCTACTATCCCCCTACCTACCTGCCCGTACCCTCCGTTCCTCTGGCTCCGGTCTGCTCCACGTCCCCCGCCCCAACCGCCCTACTATCGGTGGTCGGGCCTTCAGCCTCTCAGCCCCCAGGCTCTGGAACTCCATCCCCCAGTGCCTTCGCCGCCTCCTCCCTTTCCTCCTTCAAGGCCGGTCTCAAAACCTTTCTCTTTGACCGTGCCTTCAGCTCCCCTCTCGACTCTCTTCCTCCTCCTCGCTCCCTCCCTTCCCTCCCCTCACCCTGACCATTTCCCCCCTCCTCTCTCCCTCCCTTCCCTCCCCTCACCCTGACCATTTCCCCCCTGCTCGGGTCATGACCCAACTGTGCAGCGCCTTGGGACGTCCTCCTGACGTGAAAGGCGCTCTATAAATGGAATCTTGTTGTTGTTGTTGTTGCAACAAAGCTGAAACCACAACTGTTGTAAGTATTTATTTGTTTTTAAAATATTTTTGCACAAACCCTCTAATTTTTTAAACTTTTTTTCTTGTGTTTCTTCACATTTTATCTATTTTTGTTGCTTTTCGGTTTATTTTGTCTTACAGTATTTCACGTTTGCCAAAAACACGGGGCTCTATTTCTGAGCTGAAATCCTGATATGAAACTTGAAACCACAACTACTGCTTCACAGATAGTACCAACTGAGCCAAGCTACAAATTTGTTTGGGAAAAGTCAAAGCGGAATGCTTTTATAGGTTAGTGCAGTTAAATTTATGGACATATGTGTGGACTATACACAAATTGTCTGCCATGTTCACTTATAAGGTACACAGCCATTCTAATTTACAGTATATCCTGTGAAGCTCTTTGAGATGTTCTCCTGACGTGAAAGACACATGTAAGGATTATTACCAATGTATGTGGTGTTAGTTCATTAAAAGATTCCCAAATTTGTGAATTAAATTAGTTCTTTTGGTTTTGTCCACATGAAATTCTATTCAGCAATATACCACTTCTACCTCAATTAAACTTTTACTCTGGTTTTACTATAAGGTGTCATTGCATCTGTGACTATATAAAATCAGGTTGTGTTTTTGAACAAGATCAAGGCAGTAAGTGAGCATTATTTGTGGTCTCATATCTTCAGAAAATATTCTAACCACTTCTGAAAAGATTCACACTTTATAAAGTGTCGACTGACTATAAATAGGCATAGCTTTTCCTGTGTGAAGAGCAAGCAAGGGTGAGATTGGCAATCTTAAGGTTTACTTAGTGTTTCAGTACGTTTACAGCCAACTGCTATGCTACGGATGTTTGAAAGTGTTTGCTTGAGCTGCTTCTTTCCCGCCTTTCTCCAACTGAACAAAAGTTTCTCAATTCAAATTAAGTTAACCAATCTACTGTGGGCTGCTTGCAGTTAAGATGAATTGAAAAGGTAACTGGGTAAATATCTGCACAAAGACGTTCAATCCATGAGAAATAACATCGCATTAACATACTTTGCTAATGCAATCACAACATATCAGTCAAACTAATACCCAAATAAGTTGATAAAATAGCATTTAATACAGTAAAGCTCGCATGAGTCTTACCTGTATAACAACAACAACAACAAAATTACATTTATAGAGCTTCTTTCACGTCGGGAATTATAAATCATATAAGGGCCTGAGTCATACATCTGGCCAAGTTCCGTTCAAGAGTTTATATTCCACTCTAACCAAGTTTGACATAACTGATACTTTGCATAAGTCATATTTAATGTATGGTCCCAACTGATACGATTTATGTGAGATATACTGTATATAACAACCACAGCAAATGTTGGGAGCGAATGTTTTGTCCGAATGTAACAGGCTTTTATGTCACTTAGCCACAGTTTTTCCAATTCAGTGACTTACACATAAAATGTCTATTGAAAGCAATTATTATTGCTCACTTATCAAATACACTGTGTAACAAAGCCTAAAGTAACATGAAAACTTACCAGAGAGACAGAAGCTAATAGCAAGGTGCTAAGGGTCTGGTAACTGGGAATCCTCATCACTGCTTTGTATCTGGAGAACCTACAGAAATGATCATCACAAGTGAATCCGCTCCATCTTGTCAAACCTTTACAAAAGTCGTGGACTTAGGAAGGAACACCCCACACACCATATAAATCTAAATTTCAGATAGTCAGGTGTATATTAAACTGCTTAGAATAGGTGCAATTTATTTTCTATTATTATTAATAATAAATAATAATAATCCTGGCATTTCACATTGAATGTCAAGAGGACGTTGCAACACGTTTCACAGTATTTTCTGTAAAGTGTAGTGACTGTAAGTTTTGCAGACAAACAAGTTAATCACTGCCAGAAAGAACATATACTAGTACAGTTAAGCCATGCTAAATACCTTAGGTCTCACATTACCTTACTTCCCTTCACCTTTCAATCTATTCCACACTTCAACCATCCACTACAAACATTAAAATTAAGCAATTTAAAGACACAAATATACTCTCTGATTAACCTAAATTAATCATAACCAACATATTGTTGGCATCAGCTCACAAGATTTTGGAACCCTGTATCTTATTGGTTAGAGCACTCGCCTCGCAAATGAGACGACCTGGGTTTGATTCCTGGTTCGGACGAAACGTTAGGTAAGTTTCCTTACTCTGTTTACTTAGCAGTATGTAGGAAACCAGTTCATAGAATCATAGAATTATACAGAACAGAAGGAGACCATTCAGCCCATCATGTCTGTGCCGACTCTTTGAAAAGAGCTATCCAATTCAATCCCACTCCTCCACTTTCTCCCCATAGCCCTGCAAACTTGTTCTCTCCAAATAATTATCTACTTCTCTCTTAAAAACTGTTATCGAATCGGCTTCCTTTCAGGTTGTTAGTCAATTGGTGGATCATTATTCTGAGGATAATAATGCTCCAAAAAAATAATAATAATTTGGCACTCAATCCACAACAGTGTCCCACAAACAGGTTGTGGGATACAGCTGTGGCGCAATTGGCTGCTGGGTTTTGTCCACAAAATATACAGTCAATTCACTTTGAATGCCTATTGTGTTGCAATCTTTTGCCCCCCCCCCCACTTTGTTTTGCATTATTAACACCTCTTTCCCCTGCTTTGTTGCAATTCCCCCTTTGTTTTGCATCATTAATACCTCTTTAACCCATCATGCCCTGTCCTCCACCCCATTTTCTCATTTGTCTTCCCTGTCCTGCCTCCCACCTCTCTGTTAGCACTTAAAAGCATCTCCCTCCCAACATCCCCCAGTTCTGACGAAGGGTCGTGGACCTGAAACATTGACTCACTTTCCTTTCGCCATAGATGCTGCCTGACCTGTTGAGTGTTCTTAGCGACTTCTGTTTTTGCATTTATATAACGTCTTCCATGTTGGGAGGACTTCTCAAACAGGTTTACGCAGCTGGCTGGGCACCAGAGCCAGGGGAGATTGGGGGGAGCTGAAGAGGCTGGGAAAGATGACTGAAAGCGCAGTCAAAAAGGTAAGTATTAAGGCAGACTTTATAAGTGGGGAGGGAAGCGGCACGGTGGAGGCACTCTGGGATGCAGTTCCAGACAGCAGAAGTAGAACGGCTGAAAGCTTTTTCCACTAAATGTAGGCGTGGTTCAGGTGGGGGCCATGTTGGCTGGTAGGATGGCAGGCGATTGCAGAGGTAGGGTGGGGCAAGGCTGTAGAAGGCTTTGAATTAGAGCATGAGGTTCTTGAATTTTTCAATGTGAATTTTGCACAAATTCTAAATAAAGTAATTTGCAGCACAAAATCAGCATGCCCTCTTGTCTTGCTGCCTTTTCATGCCTTCAAATATTGTTCTGGGTTTACTTTCTCAATCACATTTAGTGCTTCTATAAGGTCCTTTCTGAGTTGTCTTGAGAGGCTTGAGAATCCTCGTGGGGCGAAACCTTAAGCAAGTTTCCATTATCCACACACCTCTGTTTACCTAGCAGTAAAGAACCCAGTTGTTAGACAACTGGTGCATCACTTTCCGGGGCTAATAATCCCTTAAAAAAAATGTGGTCACTCAATCCATGACTGTTTGTGGGACGCTGTTGAATGCAATTGGCTGCCCCGTTTCGCCCACAAAATATACAGTCCTATTTAGCATGGCTTAACTGTACTAGTATATGTTCTTTCTGTCAGTGATTAACCTGTTTGCCTACTTCATTTTACAGCATATTCTGTGAAACGCTTTGAGAAATCTCAATATGTGGTGATAATGGTGAAATAAATTAATTAATGCTATAAAGTCTATTTCAACTTCCTCCTTGACAATGTATAACTGGAGTATGTGTGCCTTGCATTTTTACTTCTCAGGAGCAGCACATTGCACTTGAATGAAGAAAAACACAAAGCCTCTAACTGTAAAACTATTTCTCCTATTTCGACAAAGACAAAAACTTCAATTAAAAATTAAGATACATAAATTTTAGATCTGCATTGGCATTTATGTTTATGATTAATACACGTCATAAAAACTATTCCAAATATACACTGCAACAAGGCGCCGAGAATATAAAGATTCGTCTTCTTTAACAACAAAATTACATTTATATACACTAGCGGCTTTCACATCGGAAGGACATTCCAAGGTGCTGCGTCCGAGCTGGGGCTAACAATACGAACTAAACATTGCGAAATCTCTCACCCCACCTTTACTCAAAAATGAGTCCAGATTCATTTCATTTCCAAGTAAAGGTGGAGAGAGCGACTTGGCATTCTTAATATGGTTCAATAACTCCTCCGGCTTAAAAGTTGGGGTGGGTCCACCCAACAGCCCCAAGTGCCAGAATTTCCTGAACACAATAAGCATTAAAGTCTTGGGACAAAGTATATATAAAAAAATACCAATCCAATGTCATTCAATCCAAACAACAGCATCACAACTTTCACCGTCTTTTTGTAGACACATTACAGTAAGTTCTCTGGATGGGATCTTTCACGTTCTCATGTTTGCAGCACAATTGTTAGGAAATAATGTGTTATTACTTGTTAGAGAATAAACCAAAGAGCTTTAAGCAGAAGGGAGAGAGGCAGTCAATAACCCAACCTTCGCTGCAGTGAGAGCTATTGCTCCAAACACTGATCTTACCTCTCGATCCCTCGCACACACCACACAACACGAGCTCCCAGACAGTCTTCAGGGGGGGATCGTGTCAGATCGCTACTCCTCCTTCCTACAGAGGAGGGAGAGTGACAAGTCCACAGCGGTTGGACTTTGTGTGGAACTGTAAGCACAGCCTCGTTAAAGGTAATCAAAGGGTTTGGCCGAACGACGCCCAGATACTGTATTTTCCACGCGAATGAGTCAATCCCTTGTGCAGTTGCACAGCTGTCACACCTTGTGGTCACCCCCACCCTATCCCATCAGCAAAGCTTAGGGGGTTGGGACGTTCTCACCCCACCCTCACGTCGTTAATATAAAACACAGTCGAACGGTGAGTGTGTCACAAAAGATAACTGGAAGGCAGGTTAAGTATGCATGAAGGGAATGGGGAGTAGCACACACAGGGGTGTGTGAGTGGGTGGGGGGGGGGGGGGGGGTGAGGGGAATCTACAACAACAACAAGATTCGATTTATAGAGCGCCTTTCACATCGGGAGGACGTCCCAAGGCGCTGAGGAGAGGAGACGCAATGATTTCTGAGTCGCAAATGGGGGATCCCTTCCATATCCCACAGTACATCACATCACACCAACTAGAAGGGATCCGCCCCACGGACATACACTGGGAAGGAGCTTTGTGTCTCTCAAGACCTTCCTCTTCGACCGCCCTCCTGCCCCTGCCCTCCACCCCACCTCAGATAACACCCCCACCCCCCTCACTGGAGTCCAAATCCCTGACTGTCCAGCACCTAGGGATGTCCTCCCGATGTTAAAGGCGCTTTACAGTTGTAATTTGTTGCGTACATTTACGTAGAGTAATTTCTCAGAGCAGTTTACAGAGACTGTACTGAGGAGCGAGGGAGGAGAGAGAAGGTCACACAAATAGCAAAGTTGATTGGTTTATGAATAGCCACTGAACTGAATCTTCAGGTCTCTGCTGAAGACCTTTCTTTTCGACCGCGCCTTTGGTCACCTTCACCCCCCTCCCCCTGGCTCGGTCCCAGGATCCGTTACTGTAAAGTGCTCTGAGACGCCATCCGGCGTGGAGGGCGCTATATAAATCCAAGTTGTTGTTGTTGAATGGGTTTTGATAGAAAAGTTGCAGAAAGGAGTTCCGGAGGGTAGGAGCTTAGATGATGGAAGCAGAAGTAGGTGACACAGCATTGATTACTAAATGTAGGGGGGTGGGGGGGCGGGAGTCAAATAGTGAGTTTGGAGAAGATCACGGAGGTCGGGTACTACAAGGATAGGAGGGGGTTTATAGGTGAAGGTGATGATCTGGATCTACTGTGAGACGGAGCCAGTGACGTATGTCTTAATCGTTGCATTTGATATAGCGCCTTATTAAGTCATTGAGACGTCTCAAAGTCATTCACAGTGACTGTATATTTTGTGGGCGAAACACAGTAGCAAATAGCACCCAGTAGTGTCCCACAAACAGTCCTAGATTGAATTACCAAATTTTTTTTGGAGGGATTATTACACCCAGACAAGCTATCTGCCAATTGACTAACAATGAGGTTACTACTTACTGCTAGGTAAACAGAGGTGTAAGGAAACTTGCCAAAGGTTTTGCCCTGCCTTGGAATTGAACACGGATCCTTCCGTTTGCAAGGCAAGTGCTCCAACCACTATGCAGGTTGGAGAAGGTGGAGTTGGAGAGATCAGAAAGAATGGCATTTGAAAAGTTGAGTATGGATGTGACAAATATGTGAATGGGGGGGTTGATAAGGAATCTATTGGAAATAACCATATTTTGACCCAATGCTGTCATTTTTGCCATCCAGCTCACTCTTTCTCAATTTTTCTTTCTCAATCCCACCAAACATTTGGCACCACACATCTACACCATGGCCAACAAAAAACGAATAACTTGTGCTCCAGCCTCGGGTTGTTTGCTTTAGCTCTGTAACTTGTCATCACATAATGGAGCCTTGTCTACACCATTTAAAAAGAGTGCTGCAATGTTTGAAGAACCGTCTCGTGTTAAAATCATTGTCCAGTCCTCTGTTCAAGTGAATGTTAAATATCCGATTGGCACTAATTGAAAATGGAGGGCAGTTTCTCACCCTGTCCTGGCCAATAATCTGCCAAGTAAAAAATTGGTCATTTGTCATTTAATTTGTAGCTGTTTGTGGGGAAAAAAGCCTATGAAGTGCATCTCAATGACATTATAAGGTACTATATCAAATGCAAGGATGCTCATTATTGTTACATGAAGTCACATAGTGTGATATGGCATGGAAACAGGCCATTCAGCTGAACTAATCCATTCTGTGACATGTGATTCCTTCCTATATGCAGTACCTTGCATTCATCTGTATTGAACTTCATATAGTTAGTTCCACAACGGCTTTATAGCCTTTATTCATCATATTGCGGAGTCCTGTAGCTCAGTGTTAGAGCACTCGCTTTGCAAGTGAGAGAGACCTGAGTTCAATTCCAGGCAGGGCAAAACCTTGGGCAAGTTTCCTTACTCCACACGCCTAATAATAATCCCTCCAAAAGCCCAAAACAATAATAAATTGGTCATTTTCAATCTACGACTGTTTGTGGGACATTGCTGTGCGCAATTAGCTGCCGCGTTCGCCCACAAATATACAGTCAATTCACTTTACAGTGTGTTCTGTGAAGCGCTTTGGGACGTCCACCCGACGTGAAAAGCGCTATATCAAATGCAAGGATTATTATTATTATTATTATATCCACCAGCTTTCCACATCTCATTGAATCTCCAGTCAGATTTGTACCCTCTTCATTGATTGTATCTACTCCATTGCATGATGTTATTAATAATTAATAAGCTAATAGATTGTATCTTTCTTTACTGTATGGTGTGGGGGTGTTTATGTTCATGGTGAAAGTCAGATGATAAAGTAGTTTCTACCATCCTGTGCACATATATTCCTACACCCACCCTGGTGTCAGGATCTGACTGATAATACTGTTTCTATTTCTGGATATATTGGAACTTGACTCCACCATATTGTTATGTTACATTTTACGCAGAGTTATGCAATATTTGCTGGAGGCTGCAACTGTGACTGGGAATGAGCAGGTCAGGCGCCAATGACATAGAAAAAACTCCTGTCAACCAGCAAAGTTGATTGGTTTATGAATAGCCACTGAACTGCTGGGCAATATTGGACATAAAATCATAGAATCATAGAATCGTACAGCACAAAAAGAGGCCATTCAGCCTATCGAGTGTGTGCCGGCTCTTTGAAAAGAGCAAAGTAATGTCAATCCCACTCCCCAGCCCTGTCCCCATAACCCTGCAGACCCGTCCTCCTCAAATACCCGTCCACCGCGTTTTTAAAAGTAGTTATCGAATCGGCCTCTCAGAGGTCTAGATGCTTCATAATCATCATCATCATCATCATCTTCATCAGATGCTAAGATTGGACAAACAATAATACAATATTTGATAAAAACTCTATCACTGACAGGTACTCAGAAGCCATTTCAATTTGGCAGTGTACAAATTTGTGTTATGTTATGAAGAAAATGGCATTGTCCTTCAACCAGGTGATAAAAAGTGTGCATGTGAGGAGGTGCCATCCTTTGGCTGAGAATTTAAACTGAGGTGGACGTTAAAGATCCAACGCAATATTTGAAAAAAGAACGGAGTTTACTCTGGCACGGCTCAGTTTAATAATAATATAATAATAATAATCCTTATTATAATAATTATAATAATAATAATAACAATATAGCACTTTTCACGTATTCTAAACGTATCAAAGCGCTTCACAAAATATACTGTAAAGTGAATTGACTGTAGTTTGGCCCAATCTGAAGAATCTTCCTCCAAGTTCACCGTAATGCTGTATTGGAGTGTCAGCCTCCTGGACCATGAGCTCAATGTTCCAGAAGTGGGACTTGAACCCACAACCTTCTGACTCAGAAACAAGCATGCTATCAACTGAGCCAAACTACAACAACAACAAAATTACATTTGGAAAGTGTCTTTCACATCGGGAGGCTGTCCCAAGGGGTGCAGGGTTGGGATGAGGGAGGGTGGTAGGAGGGCAGTTAAAGGCATGATCAAAAAAGGAGGGTGTTGAGTCATGCCTTGAAGGAGGCAAGGGAGGGAGCAAGGTGAAGGGATTGTAGGATGGAGTTCCAAAGAGTGGGGGCAGAGAGGCTGAAAACCTGGCCGCCGATAGTAGGGCGGGTTGGGCGGGTGACCTGGAGCAGGATGGACTCTGCTAAGCGGAGGGAGTGGACAGGTTGTTTGGGCGTCAGCAGGTCAGAGATACAGGAGGGGGCAAAGCCTTGGAAGGCCTTGAAAATAAGGACGAGAATTTTGAATTCTATTCTCTGAGGAATGGGGAGCCAGTGGAGCCGGGTGAGGGTGGGGGTGATGGAGTCACAGAGCCTGGTGTGGGAGAGGACATGAGCTGCAGAGTTCTGGATGTTCTGCAGTTTGTAGAAGGAAGAGTTGGGGAGGCTGACAAGGAGGGAGTTTCCATAGTCAAGCCTTGAGGTGATGAACGTGTCTATGAGGGTTTCGGTGGCCTGAGGGTTGAGGCAGTGGCGGAGTTGAGCAATGTTGCAGAGGTGGGGGGAGGCAGAGTGGGTCGTGGCATGGATATGGGGGAGAAAGGTCAGTCGAGAGTCGAACAAGACGCCCAGGTTCCCGACTGACTGTGGTGAGGTGGAGTGTGCAACCATGGATGCTGATGCTGCCAGTGCCTTGAGGTGCTGGCGCGAACCTATCAGCAGGGTCTCGGTCTTGCTGACATTCAACTATAGAAAGTTGGCTCTCATCCAGGACAATGTCAGACAGACAGTCTGTCAGGACGTTAGGTCAGTTTTCTTGAGTCAAGGATGGAGGCAGAGAGTTGGAGTTGGATGTCATCTACATTCACGTGGAAGTTGACCCAATGTCTGCAGATGATGTCATCAAGGGGGAGCGTTTAGAGGTTGAAGAGAAGGGGCCTAAGGTCAGAGTCTAACACCAGTTCAGATAAAATGTAATGTGGCAAAGTGGATATTCTCTTGCAAACTAATCTAAATAAATGGAATATCTCTACATGCATAAATAATCTTTGCAATTTGGGTAATCCATTGAAATTAGCTTCAATTTATGATATTTGTTGCTGCAATATAAAATACATTTCAAAGTTAGTATGTGGTTGTGTCATAGCCTCGCTAACCACAAATCTTGTCAAATTCTTTGGGTGG